TCCAGCCCGTCACTTGCGTCTTCGACCGGGGTGGTCGGGGGGGGGGGGGGCGGGCTGGATGGCAGTGATGCGAAACCAGGAGGTTGCAGGCTAATGAGTGGTGTCCGAAGGAGGGGAGGTCGAAGTATATCTGCAAAATTTGTGGGATGCTGCGAGTACAGTGCTGTACAGATATGTGCGCTGCGGTTCCCCTCGCAGTGGTGGTATCTTATTAGCGAGGAGGGGGTGTGGGTAAGGGATACGATATGTGCGCCGAGCGGCATGCCACTCGGCCGGGAGACATTCGGCCGATGTGCGGGGATCGCGGTGCGGCAAACTAGTGGCATGCAGCGCGCGACCTGGGCGGGGGCGTGACCTCGGGGTGGAGCTCGCGGGAGAATTTTTTTGATTTCCTCGAATCAGCGGGGCGCATCTCCCCCAATCCGCCGCCGCCGCCTGCCCGCCTCGCACCCCCCTCACAGCCACCCGCTGCGGCCCGCCTGGACATCTGTCCCTCCCTCGTGGAAAGGCGCCCCCCCTCGAGATTTTCCTGTCAAAGCCCCACCGCTCCGCCCCCCCGCCCAAAAATCCCAACCCACACGTGGGGCGCGCTGCCGCCGCCCCGCCCGGCCCCTGTCTGCCGGCCAATCACCCCCGCGCTTACCGTATCGCCCGATATTTCCCGCGCAGGCCCGCGCGTCCCCGCCGTAAACTTGCGGAAGACCGCCGCCGCGGCGCGTGCACCCGCCACTCCCTCGGTTTTCGCCGCACATCGCCCCGCGTGCGATTGCTCCTGAAATCGGATCTTCACAAAATTTGGCATCTCGCGAGGCGCGCCGCTTCAGCCCGTATCGCCACCCAGCGAGGCGGCCGGGAAGATACTGTACATTTCCTAGGCCCGTTCAAGAGGGTGTCTCCGGGCGGAAACAGCGACATGCATCCATTCCCTCTACGCCCCTGCCCCGACCTCCTGGCACATTCCGTTTAAAGCAAGCCCTGCGTCATGCCAGCGGGCAACTTATTTTTACGCCGCCGACGACCCCCGCCCCCTCCGCATACAGTGCCGATCGGTGCAAAAGAAACGAAACGCGCAGCGGTTAACCGTTGATCTGTGAAACCCGCGCTCGGATCATGCGCCGAAGAACCCTCCCCTCGCCTCCCCGCCGTGAACACGTGGACATGAGTACAACTTGCGCTTACAATCCATGCTGTACACGCGTCGTACTGTCCACGCGTAGCCGATGAAGCGCGGTTGCCTGGATGTTCACCCCTTCCGCCCCACATGTTTGCTGCGACGCTTTCGCAAGCGCTATACTGTAGATACTCGTTTGTCTGCGTTTAAATATCTTCCCTTCTTTTAGCCTCCACGCTTGCACCAGAGTCTCAACTCCACTCCCTGGCCGTGTTGTGGCCTCATCACGTGCATGATCGAGAATCGGAAACAGAGATCGCATCCGAGCTTTTGATTCACACAATCGCTACCACCCCACGCGCCTCAACCGTACCCTCGCCCTTCGATCCTCATCTTCTCTACCGCAGTAGAGCAACTTGGTGCAACCGAAAACTAGAAATAGCCTCGACCCGTTAGGATTTGACAACGTCCTGATGGGCTGCAAGACTGATTGTACAATAACGTTGTCCGTAAAGTAGCGAAAACACGTGTTTTGGCCGTGAGTTTGCTCGGATTTTCTGGTTGCAAAATTTTCAGACAACGAGTTTTGCAGAACTCACAGCATACCGAAAACTCGGGACATGTGAGTTTTCCCCGAGTTTTCATATCCGCCTGATTACTGTACGGCAGTGCCGGATCGACCCGTCTTGAAGGAAAACGAAACGGGGTTTCCGCTCTCTCATCAGCACAAACGAGTCTCATACTGCACGGTTCGTACCGGTTTGCGTCATGGACGCCCCTATCACTTCATCTACCCAGAGTCCATCAACGGATCGAAGCACCACAAGATCTGCCACATATGCCGCTAAAGCAATCGCAGAAGACAGACAAGTAGAAGCTTCTAAAAAGCGGTCCTCTCTAAACGGCCTCCCTCAGCCCGTCAAGAAGACGAAACACATCGCCCTTTCGACTGAGAACTATTCTATCCTTGTGGCGAGCTGCAATATTCGCTTCAGCGAGTATTCGCCCAGGTGCACGTGATTCGTCGGCACAACGATGTACCAGACTTGCGTTTGTTGCGGGCAGGTACCATACCTTGCTGGAGGTCAGTCCGCAAAACTCGTGGTGGGATTTTTCAAGCTCGGGTTTACTTCACGTCCAGCGAGTTTGTGGGCAAATGGAAAAAAACAACGCGTTATTTTACGGACAACGTTAATGTAACTGTTATAAATTTATCTATTGAAATTACAGTAAAAGACAGCTCGGAAAAATAAATTAAATGTAGACAAACCACCCCCAGCCACCTATGCTACCCCCCCACCCTAGGCCGTCGAGACGCTCCTTCGAACACCCTTCCCGGCCTTCCCCTCCGTGCCATCTACTAAGCTCCAGAGCCATGCAGTTGGCAGTGTCGGCGCCAGCAGCGGCCGCTTCACCGCGTCGACGTAAACGTCCACATCGGCCACGCAGATGATCTGCCTCGGGCTCTTGGCTGCCTGTGTCTTAAGCCGCGGCGCCACTGGCTCGCCGTGCCACAACGCCGGCGAGTCGGAACACATGTCCAGCAGCTCGTAATAGAAGTCTCGCTCCAGGCACCGCGGCTTACACCGCAGCCGCCGCCGAATCGTAGGGTCGTCCCCGAGCCCCAAGTCTCTTAAATACTCCATCACGCCCCGGTCCGGCTCGTCCACGGGGTCGTCATGCCGCGACAAGGGCATCGTCTCGCCCTCCTCCTCCTTGTATATGTTCTTCCTGGGCGCGCTCGAATTGAACCAGTTCGACGCCTTCACATCATCCAGCGTCGCTCTTTGCGCGGGGTCTACCGTAAGCATGGCCGTCAACAGCTGTGCGAGCCCCGCAGGGACTTCGGCAGGCATGTAGAAGGCCCCTGAACTGATCTTCGTCGCTAGTCTCTGCAGGTTGTCGTCGTCAAACGGCAGCCCACCCGTCGTCATTGCGTACAGTACCACGCCCAGAGACCAGATGTCCGCTTTCACACCCGAGTAGGAGTCGCCAAGAAGCACCTCGGGGGCGCAGTACTGCGGTGAACCGCATGCTGTTTCCAGAAACGAATCGGGCTTGAGCAGGCTGGCGAGCCCAAAATCGCCCAGCTTGACATGCCCAGATGAAGTCAGTAGCACGTTTTCGGGCTTGAGGTCACGGTGGCAGATACCCCGGTTGTGGCAGAACTCGAGCGCGTACACGAGCTGTTGGAAGAGATCCAAGACCTGTGGTTGAGGGAGGTAGCCGTTTTCAGCGAGAAGATCAAATAGCTCGCCGCCATCGCAGTACTCGAGCACCAAGACAAAAGAGGTATCCGTGTCAAACACATCGACAAGTTGCAAGACTCCCATTTCTTTGCGGGTGCGGAAGGCGGATTGTTGGCGATCGACGGCGCGACAGCTGCCGGTGATGAGCTTCATGACAGCGATTTCACGGCGGACTTTGGTGAAGAGGTTGCGGCGGGTGGTGAGCAGGTCCTTGCGGATAATTTTAAGGGCAACGAGTTGGTTGGTCCGCGGGTGGCGTGCCAGCTTGACTTTGCCTGTAGATCCTGCGCCCAAGGTCTTTATGACTTGGTAGTCGGCAGTGGAAGTAATCGTTTGGGCTACCATGGTTGTTTGTTGGAGGGAAGGGAGTTTAGGAAGATGTAAACCGATGCCGTCTTGAAAGGACAAGAGAAGGTAGCGGAGCATGCGAAAGTGGAGAGCACGGGTTTTATGTGAGACTGGTGGAAGGGCAGTGGTGTTGATATAGGGTTATGCCATGTCGGCCTGGGCGGCATTTCGGGAAGGGAACAACAGGGAGGTGCGCGCAGGAGCGGATGTACGCATGGGATGACGGCAGGGCAAGCAAAAGATAGATGTGGAAATAATCAGAAACCTCGGGCGATTGCTCTCCGCCATGAGGCGACTTGTGTCACGCCCCCGCATTCTGTCTCGTTTACGAGGCCCCGAAGGCGGGACGGTCCGCCTAACGCCGAAATTTGGCGCCCTTCTGGGCCCCATGTGTAGATTTGCACCATTTCGATTTGCGCATGCTGTACCAAGGGTACTGTGTGTGTTGGAGCTGGCGCTTTCCACCATGGGATGCCCCAAATCAGCAGAATTGTGAGAAATTGTTTTTGCTTTCTCCTGTCGCCCCCGCCGACCGCTCCTGACTCGGCAACGCTGGCCACGCGGGCCAATGCGAGCGGTCCGCGACAGAGGTTTCGCACATGGCCAGCAGAGCCCTCTACGCTGCCTGTTCCCCCGTCACAGCTGATTAATCCCAGGGAAGCCACATGGCGAAAAAAGAATAAAAGAACACGGGGTTTAGTGCGCCCAGCGCCCCCATCTTCCTCAGCCTCCCGCCAGACTGGCGGAGGCGGCGACGACAGCGCTAGAGGCTGAGTGATCCGCGACAGTGCCCGGCATGTCCCAGTGCGATGCGAATGTAGCATCATCCGGAGATGATGACGTGATTGTGGAAGCGACGCTCCGAACCTCTGTTTCAACCGACGTGCAAGGGTTTTAGATGCGAAATTCGGGGAGGGCCGTGCATTCGCATTGCATTGCATATGCGGTGAAGGGGATGCACTCGGAGATGCTTATAAAACCAATCACGTTGACGACGTGAACGCGTTCCTTCGCGCTCTGCTGTACTGCACTGCGACTGACCTTGCACAACGTAAGCCTACAAGGTCGGCGCCCAATGCGTGGTAGGGTTGTCATGCTTGGTCATGTATCAATGAGTCCCCAACAACAGGTTTCAATCACGCTCTGTGCCCCTTGGATTTGACCCGTTCCGCCACAGTGCACTATTACAACCTCGTCTGAAATCCTCGCCTGTTCCCTATTCACGGCAGGCCTGCCCTCCCGCAGTGCCTGGTTCTTCCACAACTACTTGCCCAAAGATCCATCATGGTCCGCCAGCTACGCCCGCATGCCCCTGTCACGCGGCCCACTCCTCACGGACCACGCCATCCTCACACTGCGATATGCGTTCCACGTCGCACTGCGATATCTCCCTCGCTATTGGATTAACCGCATGCCAACGAACAATGCGCCGTGTCGATCATACCCAAACGTACCTCCCATTGGGCTTCACGGCCGCCGCCTCCTCTCCTCTGGGCCATTGGTGTCATTCGCCGTGGCCTCTCCAATACGCCTTGGTGAGAAACATTCAACATTTAAGGCTTGCACCGTTGTATTCCGTGACTTCATTGGTCAATTCATTCCGTTATGCATATTTTTGCATCCTCAACAGCCACTCAATTTCAATTCTACTTGCCTTCTCCGTGACACACGCCCCCCACATCAAATCCACCTCGAGCCTGTTGTTTCTCTGCTGCTCGCGTTCCTCACGTACCTCCCGCGTGAGCTTCGAGCTCTCTTCACGCATACCTCGTGATACCTTTCTTCAAACCCCCGACTTCATATCCCCATTCTCCTCTTGCAACTACTCAACTTCACCACTGTACACAAGTACTGAACGTTTTCTAGTATTATAGCTAGTTCCAACCATATCGCCAACCCCCGTTCCGCCACATGCCCATCACTGTCAAGCCAGCCCACTTGTCGTCCAGCCTGTGAAATTACTAACACAACGGCTGCTCATTCAGTGTAAACAATCATCAACTCGACATACATTCCTCAATAAGACTTTCCCTCACAAAAGGCACACTGTCTATATTTATACTTCGCCCAGTCCAAAGTGGCTGTACACTATGTGTGCGCAGTATATCAACACATGTACAATATTGGATTCATCGTTCCCGTCTCTATGCCATCGTTTTCGCACTGAGTCCTTTCCTCCCAACATCACTGTCTTGTTGCTGCTCCCCCAAACAAGTGATTACTATCCAATCTCATTGCTCAATACCTCTTTTTTCACGTGGACATGGAAACCTGCACCGTCCACATCTGACTAAATCCTTTCGCAATTTGCCTGACAGTAAAGTACAATGTACTTCAGGGACATGTGTCAAATATATGGACGGATGGGCGACACTTTACAACTCTTGAGAAACGTTTCCACTCGCTCATGCTTGTTGGTCATGGACAAGCGATGAAAACCTTATCTTCACACTTTTTGCCAAATTATTCGTTTCTCGGGGTCACTTGACCTCCTATGAGTCCATTTTTCGACTTCATTTTCTGGATATATAAGAAAAAGTGTCCTGAACACTAACACAGCATTCCACCCTGAGGCCGAATACATCCTAGAGAATTGTGCATCCTCTCCAATCGTTAGGGGAAAATGCCGGTAATGAAGTTTGTTTTGATAACCCTAACACATGAAATGCGTCGAAATCGGCATTCCCCACTGAGAACTGCCACAAAACATAGCCCAACTTTTCTGCCACCTGCGAGGCAACAAGCATCTGCCACTTGTTTTTTCATCGGCTCTATACTGTAGGTCTCGACAACTCCCAACAGTGCCATGCTTCTCCGCAAGCGCTTGTGGCCGCCGCTGAAAGCTACTGGCAATCTGTTTTCCGATGCACATCTATGTACACGTAGAAGCAAAATTATGTATACATCAGAGTATAGGAGGCGATCCTGAAGAAAAGCCTCCAAGACCTGCCCGATCTCGACGGTGATTCCAGGCTATATCGTCATTGGACAAGTGCTTATTGTCTCTCTTTTGATATATATACCCTAGGCATGATACTTTTTGCGTTTGGTTTTCTGGTCACATGTCTGACTATGAACTGTTTTGAGGAACCATTGTTAGGGCAAGTGTCTATCAGACCGTTAGTCCCCATATGGGGACAAAAGTTATTTTATTTTTTCTCGACAACGCAACGTGCGATTTCGCTTTTGTTTTTTTGCAACCAGAAGGCCATCACTACAGGTAAAGCACTTGATTGTCGATTCTAGTGAAAACCAACTCGTTGACCCACATAATGGTGTTCAAAATAAAAAGTTGGCTTAACGTATCCGTTTTCCTTTAAGCTTATTTTATACCAGTGGCATAGAAACCTTCCAACATTCCGTAAACTGTTTTCTATTCGGTTTTAACTTCAAAAAAGTGAAACGAGTCAACCTACAGCTTACCAAAAGAAGAATAGAAATCGTGGACATCAAAGTTGAATAAGAAATTGCAGATTTTTATGTAATGATAACGCTTGGTCGGATAGACACTCTAGAGTAGACAAAAAAAAAGTAGCCTCCACGCATTGTAAAGCTGCCGTTTGTGGAGGACGAGCAACAAAGCGGACCATGCTTCCCCATTGCGCTTGTTTATCGCGATAATTCCAATACACGACGAGCACTGGATGTACATTCACACGAAGCTACAACTCGGCATCAGCAGCTTAACGGCGATTCTACTCCAAATAGTTGTCTCGATATTCGTTTGCTCCAAGGTTAAAAAGTGGATTAGTCAGGCAATCTCTCCTTTACTTGCTGGAGGCGCTATGTAATATCTATTCCCAAGTGATCCTTCATGTTTATTTCTCAATTGTATATCCCTTCCCGTTTTCCGAAGTTCTCACTGGCCAACGTTCCTTTCCTCGGAGCAGGTCGAGAGATACTATTGTCCACTTCCGCCCGCGTGTAACCCTAAAACGGCAGGCGGTCAATGAGGAGCTGTGAGAGAACCTACAAAATATGCGCTCTGGTACCGCGGCGTGACCCGCACTCCGCCAGAGGACCATAGAAACTCTTAAAAGAATGAATTTCAGTCACGCAGTGCTTTTGGGATTCCGATCAGGTTGTGTACGAGTTCCCACTTCGATCAAAGGTTTTATCTCAGAGTGAGGCACCTACTCCCAAACCTCTGGAAGTAGAACGCCAGCCCGACGGCTGCGTGCAGTAGTAAAATTACAGCTTTTCTCGGAGCAGCAGTAGACGAGCGACTGCTTCATTTCTTGTCGATGTCGAAGTCACAGGCCACCTGAAGGCAAAAATAGCGAAGTACAATACAGATTTACGGCCGGAGGTTGAAGAACAATCGCATTTTCCTGTCGTGCCTTGTGGCTCAACGGGTAAGGAGAGGCGCAAATAGTGTCTGTACAAAACTCTCCGTTCTAAAAGAGTTGCAACTAATTTTTGCAACGGCAAGCTCCATGTTACTGTAGTTGGTGCCGTTCGACGGGTAATTCCCCACGCAGGAAAGCGATTTGCCTCGTATGAGGTCAGGCATGCCATAGCTGGCGCGGCCAGCTTCTTTTGCAAAAATACATTCCTTAAATCGAAACTTTACAAAGTCAGTTTGGACGCCATTTCTTTAACGTACATGCCCTTGGCAATAACATCTTGCTAAACATTGAGATGGCAGTTGTCAATACCAAGAAGACTAAGAATCTAATGAAGTTCCAATATCTAGTTGACATTTTAAACAGGCGTTTTGGTTTCAAAGATATCCCCACATACCGGTTTGAGGTTGGTCAAAAAGGCTTCTTTTTTAAGCATTCTAAAATGGCTGGAAAAGACCTGCAGATCTCACCAAACGCCATCCTTCCGCAACGCAGATGTCATTGCAGTGGCGAGAGTAGTATCTTTTTCCTTCTTGTTGAGCAAGCACAAGTCGAGAAAAAATAAGTTGAAAAGTAGTCTTATATGAGGTCCCTCACTGCCAGCTGGGGATTGGGGAAGGCACAGGATTCACACCTTCACGCGGTCTATCCCAGGCGGATGTCCGCCTTGGCTAAGAAAATTGTTTGGGGTTGATCGCACCTACAGTATTTCCGTACGAATCTCATTGTAAAAATAGAAACGTTCTTTGAGTGCCGACAACGTAAACTACAGTAATGATCTCATCGCGTCAAACAACAACGAGAGCGTGTTCTTGTGAGTGGAATATTGATGAGCGTGTCCCAATAATGCCAAATCTGGTAGGACCACTTTCTGATTAGTGCTTCGAATTTTCTCTGGCACAAAAACGCACACGTCTACACACGCCACAGAAAGTTCGTCTTCTGGGCGTCAAGCCTAGAATTCACGTTTTCGGCATTGTAACCTCTCTGGTTAATGCCAAAACAGCCTCCAAGAACAGGTATGCACTATTTCTCAACAAACCTGAATCTCAACTTTCGCTCGAACCAGTACCACGCATTTCACAACAAGCTCATGACATTTCTTGCTACAACTGCCGGATAAGAACCTGGGCTCAAGCAAAGAAGCAGGTATGTGGGTCGAGGCGTCGCGTTTTCAAGACTAGCTAACGACAAAGACCTACTGCGGCAGACTAGGATGAAATTCGTATTTGGGTGGGTTTTGCTGCTTCTGCAAAGACCAACAAGCACTTATTTCAGACGTCAGTGTACATCTTTTCGTCATATGTCATCGGCACATTGAAGGGTTGACAGCAAAACAAGGACAAGAACCTCAAGAGCTGCTACAGTCGGCAACGGAAATCACCAAGCTTCTCCGCAAGCTGATAATTACGTGTGAAGGGGTTGGTGGACCCCACGCATGGCTTCGCAACTGCTTCAAGAGATAGAGTTTGTGGAACTTCACTGTCAGACTTTATGTGTACCCGTGGACAGGGCATTAGTACCTTTATCTGCAAAAGTACGCGTCGAAACCATGGTAGCAGTGCTACACTCGGTTCGCAGTCAAGCTCCACAGAACCTTCACGATGTCCCCAAAACTATGTCCCCAAAACTAAATAGGAATATTCGCAATGTCCACCTAGATGAGTGACAAGTGCATGCAACTCTGGCCATGTGAGCTGGAGCTGGATTGAACTGGTGCGGACTTTTATCAAACAGATATTTACCCCACCGCTCTTGCGTAGGCACAGAGAGCGAGTTCAAGGATGACCACATTCGAAGTGAGATGGAAAAAGCCCTAAGAAGAGTGGAACATCACTTGCTTCGAACTGCCTGGCTAGAAGGTGGTACTACCTCTCTGTGGATATGGGTATGACGTAGGATAAAGCGTACTGATAAGAGAGTGTACTCTTTTTCGTCACAAAAGTGCAGAAGCGCGAGATGTGTCATCTAAGGAGAAGCATGGAATAGAGCGGAATGCGTAGAGCGGAATGCGTAGATGAACGACAACTACATTCTGGCTCTCGCAAGACATGTCTTCGACAAGGCAAGGTAGTGAAGGTATACTCATTCCCTGACCGGGGAAATAGGGTTATTCTGCGTTTGCGGCTCTCCGCTTTGCGCGTATCACTATTGCTAGCAGCCGTTCAAGGGCACTTTGTAAACGGAACATAGGTAAAGGTCGCTGAACTGCGGACAGATGGTATGAACTCCGTGCAGCTGATATAGGAGTACCTAACAAACATATTTACTTTTAAATGAGAACATCACCGCGGCATCGTGGAATGACTGCGGCAACTCGCTGTCTAGAGAAGAGTACTGCGCAATATCTGTGTCCGGCTAGGGAGCGAGCTTGCCGTGAACAGCAGCGAGTCCTTCTATGTCGGCACGACATGCGCTCAACATAATATGCAATGGAGAGTCAATAAGAGCTACGACTGTCGATGCGCAGTCAAACTCGAGAATGAGATACCCCGTTCTCTAGTTCCAGTCCTGGGGACGTAGTTGCGAGGGAGAAAAAAAAAGACATGAAAGCTGCGGTTAGGATGATTCTTGCTACACAAACGACACCATGGTTTGCATGCTTTCTTTTGGTCGCCAACATACCGAAATGTCTGGTCCGCTCTTCCCGAGCGGTGCATTATTCTCATAGACTTTTGGTTTGGGCTTCGGCCTGCACGCCGGACACCACACGCAACAGCATGGAAGAAAATAGTTAGCTACGTTTCACAGATCTAAAATGAAGTTGTAAACGTCAAAATCATAAAAAGTGAAGTATAACACAACGCACTGTGTCCGTTGAGTGCCCCTAACCGCGCCCAGTCTCGCGCGTTCCTCGGCCGCAACAAGGGCTTGTCGACGGCGCTCGTCCTCTGTGGGCGTCATAACCTGTGGTACGGGGGGGCCGCCCGCGACCGTCTTCCTGTTGTTGACTTCGAGGTCATCTCCGCCGCAGCATAAGTTACCCATGATACTCAGCATACGGTGGGCGTGCGCGACAACGGCGGAGCGGAGGCGATTGGGCGTGATATCTCGGGTGTCGCTATGATTTTCCGCGACAGATGCGAGCCGCAGGCGTTCGGGGCGGCGGATGGGCCACACGCAGAGGGGCAGTGGGGCAAAAGTGATATGGGAATGCAAACGGTGGGGAAGACTGGTGATGGACCAGAGGTTGCTGTTCCAAAGTGTTATGCTGTTGCTGCCGACAAGGCAGTGCAGGGGCAAAGTCTCTCACTGTAATCATAACTTACAGAAGGGGTGGCACGCCAATGAACAAGAGCCACATGTTAAGGAGCTATGGACGAGCAGCTCGTCCTCAAAATCACAGCAAAAAACAGCAAAATCACAGCGTCAATATCATACGTGGTAGGCAAAATACTGTACACTGTTCCACGTGTTTGGTACAATACTTCGCACGTGACCGACCCTACACCTCACGAGCGAAACAACCCAGCGCAACATGTGTCAAGACAGGCAAAGGCAAACCCCACCAACTCTGGCGCAGTGTCATGGGACTGGTTTATCCAGAAAAAGCATTCTCACGTGCCATTCCAGATTATCGTCCACTTCGCACCTCTTTAAACCGACGCCGTGCGTGCTTAACAGATTGTTCTCCTCCTTCCACTTCGCAGCACCATAATACATCTGAAGGAAAAACCTATTATGTCTTTTTCCCCTTTTGATTCGTTCCAGCATTTATCCATTCTCTAGCCACAAGTGCATTTGCTTCACTCCTTCAACTTCACTCCTTCAACTTCACTCTTTCAACTTCACTCCTTCAACACCTCTCTTTCTCTTAATCATAGACTCGAAGGGGAAAGCTGTGGTAGGCCATGCAGAATATTACCTCGTGTGCTTCAATCGTTTATCCTCACCTCCACGGCGCATGCTTATGAAGTTTGCGGCAGCAAGTACCCCCTCCAGCTTTATATATGCTTTCCTTATGCTTTAACCACAAGGCTTAGCCCAACCACGAAACAATCCCCACCCCTATCCATTTCTTTCCACTGCCATGCCGGACTATTACTTCGTCCAGTATGGACCAGACATGTCGGGTTCTCAGCAGGCGACCTCTTACTTTTTGATCAGTTGAGTGATACGACTAGTCGCGTCTTCTGCGCCGGTTGCTCTCAAAAGCTCATACTACCTACAAGTCTGCAGACTTCGAAAATAAACCTAGGTAGAGTTGAAAGAGTTTTCTCTTCTCTCCGGTGGCTCTCTCACAAGATGAGGACAGGACTTCACTTTAGTGATGGAATTTCCTTCTCGAACGATAGGTGACTCTATTTTCTAGGTGACTTGCCTTTTCGAGGTGGCGGTTGTGAGATATTGCTTGAAGCGGCATGAGATGTGCTTCTACTTACAAATCCGTTACAGGCACATGCAGTTGTAAAGTGTCATGCAGAGTGAAAGAAAACCGCCACCTATATGCCAACCTGAATACAAATCTTTCTTTACCATGCACAACGTGTAACATCCCGGATATACAGATTTAACAAAGCAAAACGTTTTTGAAGTTGACGATTTCCACTGCTGATCTCCACAGAGTAAAGAGGAGGTTTAAGATGGGCTGGGCGAGTGCAGTTCGACCTGAAGGGGCGTGATTGAACGATTTTTGTGTAACCGGTTCGAATGGCAAAGAAAGCGGTGCGGGTCCTGCCGTTGAGAGCCGTGTACTATGCTTTGGAGTCGTTGACCTTTGGGCTGTCCATCAAGACTAGAACCGTTCGATAGTTGCGTCTTTATCGAACCTTTTGGAATGGACTATTTTGGTCCACAATTTACTGAACCCTGAAAATACAATTTATTTTTGGGTTCAATTAATTGTGTTCTATCCACAAGAGGTCATCTACTCGAGAAGTTGGCACCTCACATCATAATTCACCTACTGTAGCTGTGTCGTATATACAAGCGTATGGCGCACCTGTCCCGTCAATAGTGAGCACAAGGGAACAATTATGACCAGACTGTAAGCTTGTCCCGCAGTCGAGCAGGAGGTCCCGATCACTCATTTAGGAGTCAGACAGTAGGCCCATTTCCGAACAATCTCCAAGTGCATAATTGATCTACTGCGAATTGGGGGACAGCTTGTGGAAACAGTGTTTGGGCTCAATTTAGAATTGTTGGACTCTCAGAGTTGAGCTGAAGATAGGTTGAGGACTAAGGCTCTATGTTTTCGGTCTTGTGAGGCGAGAAGAGAAAGATCGTTCCGCACTTTCAAGCCGTAGCGTTCAGCCACAGTGTGTATGACTGAATTAAATTAGGATTGATGAAAGGCCGCATCTCCGAGGTTGACGCTCAAGGTAATTCTACTGTATATCTACATAGTATGATACGTGTGGTAGGGGAGATTCAGTAAGCTCACTTTTGGAGCAATGCAAAAATTTGTTGGATCATTGCTGGGTTATTTGTTTGCAAATGAAGACGACAAGGACAAACTTCAGGTGTGAAATTAGTGAGAGGATTTGCAACGATCGACGGGGACCTGAGAATGGGAAACGGCACCTTTCAATAACGATGGTGTTCTCTGCATTCGCCATGCAAAGCGCCTCCTCGGAAAGGTGTCCGACATATCAGATGGCCAATCAGTATCGAGATGCGGATGTATGCAAAATGTCCTTTTCAGAGGCGAAGCGTCATGAGGCTGTGATTCTAGAGCTCCGGATGGAAATGTTTGGCGAAGAGGGCTCTTCGGGGTTTAAAGTCGGGGAGTTCACTAGATGTCGTTCCACGGCGAAACGACACTTGCGAGAGCTCGGAATAAGCATGCTTGCATTTTAGTGGGCCAAATTGCCGATGGCGGTTCGGTAGGGCGGCGCACTGGTGTAGCGCATCAGAGGGCAAAACCTTTCATATACGTCCCCTGTCGCGTGTTGGCGGCTCTTCCGCGCGGTATGCGGCTACCGCGGTGTGTGCTCATTGGTCACATCTCGCCAAGTCTGACCTCGCCACTCCCCCTGAACCAATGCTCGAACGCGATGCACATTTCCGTCTAGCTCTTCACTCCACACATTGCTAGGAACATGTCTCAGGTCATTTTTATTGTCGAAATTAATTCCTATTGACTCTCATATTGCGGATCGCGCCCTTCTTCAGCGCCGTGAGGGCCTGCTCCACAAGAGTGGTCGGGCAGGCGGTTGTGGTTGCGGTAGAGGATGCGCTCCAAAAAAAGCCTTATTCTTGTATTCAAATCTCCCGACATCTACTTCCCGCTACCGCATTCATCGCACCCGCGTGTAGTCTTATAGCCCACCCTCGCCCTCTTTTCATGACGGACTCCTCGTTCTCAACTTCATTTATTCATCGCCCCGTCTCCGAGTTCATGAGTCTTTCCGCTCCCACTCTCTTTCATCCATCTCAACTCGTTGGGTCTGCAGTAATTGTCATTTTGTCGTACAACTCATCAATCTTCAACAAACCTCTCTCAACATGAATACTATTTTCGCTCACGCCCATACTGAGAATCAACAGAGACTCTTCGAGGCCTTGCGCCGCATCTCTGAGGAGAGCGACGAGCACGGAGGCTCTAAAGCCTTCCCTCACCACATGCTTGATAACTCAGCACTTTATTCCGAAGAGTTTTTTCTCTCAGACTCCGGTTTCGTGTCTCCAATCAGCAAGGACGACAATTCCGACATCACTGGAATGGCTCTTGATTTCCAAGATACGCCTGACACTTCGCTCACATTCGACCCGCTATGTGCTGCCTCCTACGATGAACGTCTTCAAGTGGACCGAAATGGAACAAAAGTCGGCGAAGATGCCACGGCGACCGCCATCCTTCCAATGTCCTTGCTCTCCGACCTATCTGGTTCCATTGGCATGTATGCCTCTTCTCCAATCCCTTGCCCTCAGGACGCTCCCGCCAATGCTGCCGTTTTCGCTGCTGCTATGACTGCCGCTATGATAATGGAACGCACTGATGCTTCTGGTAAGCGTCCAAGGTCCATGTCCCCGGAGACGGCTGATGAAGACTACCTCGGTGACAATGACACAGACGAAAACAACATGGAGGAGACATACGACATCATTACAGAATCTAGCTCAGACAATTCAGAGACTACATTTCACGTGTCCGCCGATTCAAGTGTCGTAGGGGGCAGTCCACGAAGTGTCTTACCCACGAGAAAGACGCCACACGAGGTACCATCACCCCTTGCAAGGAATGGGAGATACAATCAACAGACTTCCCGCCCTACCACTGGAAGGATGTCCTTAACTGGAACGTTTCAGAGAAACAGCTCGCGGGCTCCTGTACGTCGTGGCGGCTCCTCACCAAGAGTTCCTGATGTGCAAGAAATGAAGGCATGCTCTTCCGGTAACGTCGATTCTTCGCCAAGCGCCATCCTATCCCGCAAGCGCAGGGCTGAAGCTATGGAACGTTTCCGACGCAAGAAGGCTGTGAGGTGTTATGGAAGGCGTGTGCGCTACCAGATTAGGAAGAGAATTGCTACAACAAGACCCCGAGTCAACGGCAGGTTTGCCAGGCGAGCTGACGCTGAATCCAAGGCAGCATCTACAGCTGCACGACAGTGAATCAAAGGGGATACAGCAACCACTCTTTACATGACTACAACTCGTCAACGAGGGATAAAAACCGATGTCAGACGATCTGAGGTGTCATCGAACAGTTTTTTAATCAATTCCAAACCCCTCCAAATAGAGAAGATCCACGCTTGTTCTTACTTGTTTGCCGATGTCAGGCGTACGCAATTAGTTGCATGATAAATAAAGCTTCTCGGGTGTCACTTGGTCTTTCTCGTTCGTCGTTTCGGAGGTGGCCGGACAGATGGCCTGGGTCTCGGAGCTGCTTTTTGAGCATGCCTTGGAATTTCAATCAAATCATCGTCGTCATCAATGACAACTGCTCCGGAAGGCGCCTGACATGCGCTTGGGGTTACATTTCTATCGGACAGAGCGGGAGCACTGTTACTAGCTAATCTGCCGGACGTGGGAGGAAAAGGGCCACCACTGGATCCTCCGCGAAAGTATGGCGACGTGTAAGTCACACCCGAGGTAGCAGCAGTAGGGGTCTCCGAAGGTACGTTTTCATCATGATCGCCGACATGGAGGCGTGGTCTCTTGGTCGAAGCCACAGACTTTGCCGCAGTGGCTGTCCTGGAACGCTTGGGATTGGCCGAATTTTGGCCACTTGCCCGAGACTGCAAGACGATCCTTGTTTGCCGTGATCGCAACTTTTGTAAGGGACTGGGGTCCCAATTTCGCAACAGTTGCGATTGCACGCCACCATAGGCATTGATGTCGCAGGCCACCTGTAAGACTTGGAGGGAGCACAACTCTTCAATTACTCGATACACGTCGTTATCTTTGAGGAGCCCCTTTCCGGCACCAAAGGACGGATGTGAAAGGTGGTCACTGCTCTTCATTCTTGACTTTCGGCCCATGTAAAACTCTACAATGTATGCTGCGGACTGCCCAGAACTTCTTCTGCCGGTGCTCTGACATACGCCAACGACGTTTGCAATAGCTAGTCCATGGTCAGTCATGTCGACATTGCTGAAAACCCCCCCGGTATTCTTGCAGTTATCGCATTTCGGGTCGCAATTCGATGAACTGAACTTTTCATCGAAATGAGACAACAGGAGAGTCCTCCGACACGTGATGTCGTCCAAGCAATAAGCGGTTATCTTTGCGAGTCCCTGTGTGTTCCTTAGTACCTGGCCCTCGTTCGTGGGGTTTCCAGATGGGCCGTTTCGATTCCTGAAGGATCCGCCCCGTCGCCCTCTGCCGCCCCGACCGCGTCCACGACTGTAGGGATTCCCGCCTGGAGCGTCCTGAAGAATCATGTTAAGTACTTTCATTCGGTCACCTATGGAGAAGTATAAAACGCACCGGCTCAACAAGCCATCCCTTCCCGCTCGACCACTTTCTTGGTAGTATCCTTCGATATTCTTTGGGATAGTATGATGGTACACAAACCTGACGTTTGCTTTGTCAATTCCCATACCAAAAGCAAGAGTACTACAAATGATGTGGACGCTACCGTTCGACCATTCCATCTGATTGGCTCTCCTAAGCTCATCACTCAGGCCAGCATGGTACGGTAATGCTCGCAAATGATGCTTCCTGGCCAAATTCTCAGCAACAGTGACACAATCTCTTTGGCTGAAACAGTAAATAATTCCAGCCTCCCCTTGATGAATGGTCTTGATCTCCATCGCTATTTCGTCAACCACATTCTTTTTCTTTCTCCGAACTTCATAAGCCAAATTCGTTCTATTAAAACTTTGCTTGAACATTACACAATCACGACTTATGCGAAGTTGGACCTTGATATCCTCGCGTACTTCTGGAGTTGCAGTAGCCGTTAATGCCATGATAGGAACGTCTGGGAACCTCTCCTTAAAAATTGCTAGTTCTTTGTAGTCGGGCCGAAAATCGTGACCCCATTGCGATACACAGTGTGCCTCATCAATGACGAAGCGCTGAAGCATCTTTCTCTTTGAGAGGGAAGCCAAAAGGTCAAAAAATGCCGGGCTTCGAGTGATTTTTTCCGGTGTTACGTATATAAGCTTGCTCATTGGTTTTGAATTGTAGAGGTCTTTCATGAGTTCGTTCTTCGTTCTTTGGGGTGTTCCAGAAGTCAAGGCCCCACAAGGAATCTGCTTTGACCATAAGTGATCTACTTGGTCCTGAATCAAGGACACTAGTGGAGAAATGACAACTGTCACCCCTTCCTGGAGCAAAGATGGGAGCTGATAGCACAACGACTTACCGCCCCCTGTCGGCATGAGAATAAAGACATTCTTCCCAGATAAAGCCGCATTCATGGCTTCCCGCTGATTCTGACGAAAACCTGCATTTCCAAATATATTTCGATTCTCCATAGCTAGCTGCAACGACCATGGGAAAGTTCTACAAGAATTGTCCTGCCATCGCTCCGCCGTGCCTTCATTTTCGCCGTCAGCCCCGCTTTGCGATCCTCGTAGTTGGTGAAGTGTGCCCCTTTCTGGCGCTTTTGTGGGAGTAAAAACCATAGGATGCTCCTCGAGATCATCCGTGGTGGGATTCAAGTTAGCTGCATTCAAGTTGGCTGCTTCCTCAGGCTCCACACTTCCACGTGCGTAAACAGGAACGAGGGCTTCAATGGATACAGGCACGTTATCTTGACGTCCATTGCTTTGAGCTGCACCGGGAGCTCGTGTCTGACCTAAGGCTGAAGGCAGACCACTACATGGCAAGTCAAGCGGAATTGGTGCTGCACCGCCTTGCGCCAGCAGGTTTCCAGAATTCAGTCTTGGTTGCGGTGAGTAATAATTGTTCGTAATATTAATATTGCTGCCGTTCGGGGGTTGCACGAAAGGTTGTGCTGAAGGAGAGACTGGAGGAAACAGATGGGTTTCGACCGGGAAAGTGCCCCTAGCATCAGTGTCCTCATACTGCAGCCCAGGAACCGGTTGCCCGGGCAGGCCTGATACCCCTGGTGTTACTGGGGAAGGATACTTTGGTGTCGAAACACATGAAGCTTTCGACGGCGGTGTGCTACACTGGCCTCCGCTCTCCAGTGACTTTAGCTTTGATTCTAACTCAGTGAGGAGCGCCCGCTGATTCTGGCGTCTTCTTGTATATATAGCAATGGTGTTGGCATCGATATCCATTGCAAGAACGTTGGAGATGTCATATAAACTGTCGTTCACGGCAATTATGCGGCGGGTGAGTTTTGCTTTCTCATTCTCGAATGCCTTGATGTTACTTGACATAGTCTGCGCCGTGACCGTCGAAAGTAGAGTCCTGGGCACAGTGCTGGTAGCTGAAGACAGCACTTGTTGAGGTCCAGGTCGCCGGGGAGGTTTCCCGCGGCTACTTATTATAGAGTCAACGTCTAGTGCAGCAAAGAGTTGATCATCGCTATCCGTGTTAACACTTCGCTCAGGTGGCCGAGTGCTTGGGAGTGTGGTTTGACCCGCTCGAGGCGCTGCGTTTGAAACGAAAGAGGTCGCAAATGGAAGAGACGTAGGCGTAGCAGGGTATTGAGGCTCGCGCGCGATTTCGATGGAAGGGCTCTCGTCATGAATCTTGTGTGATTGAGTATGTAGTCGGGTAAATTCTTCAATGTCGTCAACGTCTGGACCAGGCTGGGAAGATGCCAAGTCGATTAGTTCGAGCTCGCAATCTCTGGGAGGAACGCGAGGTGCAATTGATGTTGATCTCGGAGAGTGTGAATGATGAGGTGCGCCCTGCAACTGTCCAGGCACCTTTGTTTCGCGGGGATGTACTTCTGCATGAAAGAGCTGCCTTCTTGGTGTTTCAGGGCGCGGTACAGCTGGCCTTATTTCTCGTCTCTTTGGAGCAAAGTCAATAGATTCAGCAGTCGGCCTCATTGGATTTGGCGGCATAGGGCTTGCTACTGGGGTCTGCCAATTTGTAACCCGCAGAGAAGGCACAGAGCCCTGTTGTAGGACTCCATTTGATCCCTGTACTGCGTTGTGAATGGCACGCGTGGCACCTCTTCCATTTGGGTTTCTTGGCAACTGAGGCAGAGGGCTACCATGGACTGGGCGCGCCCTCGTTAACGTCTGAGGGCATGGGGGAACTGAAAATCTCCTCGGAGCGATTCCGGGAGGGAGCTTGGACGTACCTCGGCTGAGCATTGGCGGCGATGGCATTGCCAAGGTGCCGGAATTTGGCTGATCAAAGAACTGCCGCACCAAGTGCAGGGATGTCCTGACTCTTTGGGCATTCTGAGCCCTGGCATGGCCGGGCATGTATTAGCCGACTGGACAGTGATGTTAGGAACAACCAGAGATGGGCGTCACATCGGCAACAAACGGACAAAGTGAATGCTGAAGTCTGGTCTGGAGCTGAGGATGTGGGCAAGTTTTCACTTTGCACTTTGAATGTCTTTCGCCACCACCTTATGGCAAGAATTGTCGCGGGGAGAAATACATCGCTGACCTCAATTTGAAGCGAAACTGTGAGAGGCACGGCATGCTTGGTGGTTCTGTCCGGATTGTTGGTTATTCGGGTTTTTAGGATGTCCTGTATTTCGATTTGCGCGCGAATTTCAAAATATGATCTGCATGTTCATGCAATGCAAGCCCCGTGACATGTGAATTACTGTACTGTGATCTGATGTAAATACAATCTCAGCTATGTTTGATACACAGACTCTTTACAGGTGGACACGTTTCTACTTGATCATCGATCAACTCGCGCTAAAAACAACTGCGGATCAACGGGCGAGCGCGGGAACTGCCTGCCGTAGAGCCTGCTCACATACGCCGCCGGGGTAAAATCCAGTTCCGTTTGACGTATCAAGCCCACTAACACTACCAAACGTCATTGCGTTTCCGAAGCGCTCTTGGTTCCGCCGCGATTCAAATTCATTGCAAGAGGCTGAATCGCTATCATGTCGCTGGCATTTGACGAGTATGGCAGGCCCTTCATCATCATCCAAGAACAGGAGAAGAAACATCGGTTGAAAGGGATCGATGCTTTAAAAGCTAATATTGCGGCGGCGAGATCCATCGCCAGAACCTTGCGGACATCACTGGGCCCAAAAGGAATGGATAAGATGCTGCAGTCTCCAGATGGCGACATCACTGTGACCAATGATGGTGCAACGATTTTGCAAGAGATGGATGTCGAGAACCAAATCGCGAAACTCATGGTCGAACTCTCCAAATCTCAAGATGACGAAATCGGTGATGGAACCACTGGCGTTGTCGTTCTCGCGGGTGCACTCCTCGAGCAAGCGGAGAAGTTGCTCGACAAGGGAATCCATCCGACTCGAATTGCAGAGGGATTTGAACGCGCTGCAGATCTTGTTGTTCCCCTTCTGCGAAAGCTCTCTACACCGCTTGACTACAGCAGCGCGAATGGGTACGAGGAATTAGTCAAGACGGCCATGACCTCGCTCAATTCGAAAATTGTGAATCGGATGAAGAGACCCCTCGCTGAGATATGCGTCAAAGCTGTTCTTTCCGTTGCAGACCTTGACCGAAAAGATGTGAACCTGGACCATATCAAACTGGATGGCAAGGTGGGAGGGAAAATGGAAGAAACCGCCCTGGTTAATGGAATAGTGATTGACAAAGACTTTAGCCATCCGCAAATGCCTCGTGTTGTCGAAGATGCCAAAGTTTGTGTTCTCACATGTCCCTTTGAGCCGCCGAAACCGAAAACGAAGCACAAGCTTGACATAAACACAGTCGATCAGTATAAGGAAATGCAAGAATTGGAGCGAAAATATTTCACTGATATGGTCAAAGCAGTGAAGGACTCTGGCGCCAACCTCGTCGTCTGTCAATGGGGTTTTGACGATGAAGCGAACCATCTGCTCTACAAGCATGAACTACCGTCGATCCGGTGGGTCGGCGGTTCTGAAATTGAGCTCATCGCCATGGCCACGGGAGCGCGTATTGTGCCACGCTTTGAAGAGATTAGCAAAGATAAGCTTGGCTCGGCGAAATCCGTGCGGGAGTTGTCCTTCGGTACTACAAGAGATCACGTCATTGTCTTGGAAGATTGTGCATTTTCCAAGTCGGTAACTATTTTTGTGCGTGGCGGGAACAAGATGATTATTGAAGAAGCGAAGAGAAGTATCCACGATGCGTTGTGCGTCGTGCGGAACCTCATCCGCGATAATCGGATTGTTTATGGTGGAGGCTCTATTGAAATTGCGTGCTCCAACTTGGCCTCAGAGACTGCCGACCAAATTCCTGGTGTAGAGCAGTACGCAGTCCGAAGTTTTTCGGCTGCGCTTGACAACGTCGTCATGGCTCTTGCGGAAAACTCGGGCCTGTCCCCTATTGAAACACTTGCTAACGTGAAGTCAAGACAGATCAAGGAAAATAACCAGTATCTTGGCATTGACTGCATGGAGACAGGCACGAATGACATGCGTGAACAGAATGTGTACGAGGCTCTCGCTTCGAAGATTCAGCAATTCCAACACGCGACACAAATGGTTAAGATGATACTAAAGATAGATGATACCATTGCGCCTGCTGAATATGAATAAACTAAATTCTGGGCGCGTCTGTGAAGTTTTAAAACATTACCGCTGAACTTAAACTCCGTGGCCCTGATTCCGTAATCCAAGCTTATCGCGGCCCCTGTTTACAGCCGTATAACATCAAGTCCTCGGTCGACAAGTTGGGTCGCTTCATTCTCACTTGTGGAGGAAGGAAATGAACTGAACTAGATGGCCTCGGTTTTGATGTAGATCTTGCATGTCGAGCTTCCACGAAGGCTTCCCCTGCAGCTTGAGCAAAAGCAGGTGGTGGCGGATGCGGACTCGAGCTTATTTCTTCTCGCGTTCTCTTTGACGATGGCGGGAGACCTGCTGAGGCGATTAGTAACTGCGTTGATGAGATAATTGCACCCTTCAAAACGGAGTCTCGCTCTGGTAGCTGTAACTTCGAAGAGGCATGGTTTTGGTTAGGCGACGATGTGCGAGGCCTTTTCTTTGGACAGTATTCGTTCATTTTCGCCTGTCTTGGTGTTTCAGCATTCTGTACGTGGTCCACACTTTCTGAGCCATCGCTTTCTTCTGATGAATCGGAAGAATCGTACTGGTCAGCAAGCCCGGCCAAACTCATTGGTAGAAAATTTGTATCGTGGAACCCGGGGGCCCTGCTGTTGTCCTTAGCAGAAGCAGTCGGCGTCCTGAAACAAACGAAGGCTAGCGGGAACACAAACCAAAGCAGTGGGGACCCAGACGAATGAATAAGAACGCGACGGTTTCCCCAGATAGAACCGTACAGTAGTGCCAGATTACACCAGTTGCCGTGACGTCGCTCTGCACGCATGTAAATTGTGTTTCAAAAGCACCAAAGATCAAAAACCCCATCAAATAAAATAGCATACAAGGGGGTACCCCCCGTTTTTGAACAGACCTCCTCAAAATTGAACAAAGCGATAATTCCAAATTTTAACAATAAATATAACATTTCATTGCTGTTAAGCCTCATTGAGTGATCAAAGCCATCTCAAATGAACCGGTAACTTGGCGGCAAATGCAAACAGACAAAAATGGCGCCCATTTTCGAATTGAGCGATGCCAATAACCCTTGAAACTTTGGTCTGGCCTCCTATCCGATGCCAAAAAAATCGTCAGGCCAACTCCGGTCTCAAGGTCGCCACTCCCTCTGTAACGGTCACGAAAGTGACGAGAGCAAAGCGCTTGTCAAAGAAAGAGAAATGCTTTGAAAGAGCACTACTTGCGGTTGACAGGGGCATGGATCGCCGTCGAGCATCCTTCATTGCTCGTATGCCCCTCTCCACATTCCAGTACAGACTTATGCACAAGGATGACATTCGCTCACCACGAACTGCACTGACCTCTGGCGAAGAAGACACCATCGTGACACTTATCAATCGATACTCAGCGAAAGGTTTCCCTCTCAGTAACGAGGATATAGCCGATGCTGTGGAAATTTTAGTTTCATTGCTCCCGCAAAGTCGACAACAAAAACTGCCTTTTGTCAACAACAGGCCCGGGAAAAAGTTTTTGTATAACTTTCGCAAGCGTCACAATGACACCATACAGTTCAAACGATACTGTAAAGAAGAGGAAATAAGGTGGAAGTCGTGCAATGCAGAAGTACTGACGACGCACTTTGCAGCCATTCACAAAATAATTGCAGACAATAGAATAGACTGCTACCATATATGCAACCTCGATGAGACTGGCATGTCTCCGAACCGAGACTGCCTCAAATCTTCACATAAAAAAGCGTACGTTACACGCTCATGCCATCCCGTGAAACGTTCTCCAGAATTTCGGAACATTGATCGTGTAACTATGATGCCAGTTGTCTTTGCAAGTGGGTGTGTTGGGAGGCCATTGTTCGTGGTGAAAGGAAAAAGTATCAAGTTTCGCGTTGTGAAGTCCAACGACCAATCGGTGGTCCAAACAATTGCTGACTGTCTACCGGATGGCAGCCTCGTGACCTGTCGTGACGACGTAGCAGGTGTGGATTCTACCAACTTTGCCGAGTGGTCAAAAGCATTCGTGAAGGATAATGAGTACAAATTATCACAGGGAAAAATATTTCTGCTTATGGATGGATACCGTAGTCATATGCGTTACAAAACCTTGAGCTTCTTGCACAGCGCAAACGTGATAGCCTATGCCCTCCCAGCGCATACTAGCGGTGTTACTCAACCACTGGATGTTTCCGTATTTGGGGCTTTCAAAAGCAAGTTACGTGATCTTGTTGATGGAATGTCTACAGCTGGTGCGGTCAATGTTTACGATCAATTCGATTTTTTGAAGTTGGTGACAGCGGCGTATGCCAAATCTTTTACTCGTTCCAATATAGCCTCTGGTTTTAGCAAGGCCGGCATCTACCCTGCCAATTTGTCCTATGTGTTTGCAGGGCCTAGGCCATTGTCTTCTATACACTGCGACAAAATCATGAAGGCTGAAGATATCGAGCGCATTCTTGAAACGAAAAGAATGCAGCTTCGAAACAATATTGGTCTCCAGCCGGTAGTTGTTGGCAATGGATTTTTGGACACTACGGCAGGATTGTGCCTCACTTCGAGCAAGGCATTACGCATGGCCAGAAGTAAAGATGCCATGGACATGGCTAAAAAGGGAGAGAAGGAACGCCGAGAAGCGGAAAAGGCTGAACGCGAAGCGGCATTATATGATAAGGTGAAGAGAATGCGACTGGCGGACGACAAAGAAGCCCTTGCATATCGTGTGCGTGAATATGGTGTGAGAACCGTCTTGCCGAGACCGATGAAAGAACGCCGCATGCCGGCCAAACGCATGGTAGCAGAGAAGAAAGTGCACCGCAGCATAATCATTGCCAGAAGTAGTTCAATGTGACCGTCACACGTCATCGCAACCTTTTTTCTGATTAAAAAATGCATGCTAAATTTGGATCAGCCAATTACATAGTTGTACAAATCAGAGGGGGAAAATTGTCGTTTTGACAGTGACTACAGGCCTTCGCCTACTTGCAACGACCCCCAAGTTTTCCTGATCCACATATTGACTGGTTGCATCAGAGCATCAAGCCTTCCATGTCCACCAGAAAGATTTACAAAACGGCGATGTGAAGCTGATTTTTTTAAAAAATATTGATTTTGTTCCAAAATGAGGGGTACCCCCTTGTACCTGTTGAGCGCAGGCGCGTGCCTGTAATTTGGCGAAAGCCAACAGTCCAATGAAAAGGCTCCATGACCGCCACCGTCGCGAGATGGTTGGCTGATGATGATTTAGGGTACGTACCATTGTAGAAATAATGATTAATCACTATCCTACCGACGACGGCGCAGCGGAGCGGCGCGCACCAGAGCCTTGCTCTGGTTGACATAAAGTGGAGTGACCGGATCGCTGTAGACCCGATCACAAGAGGAGAGATCCTCACACATTCTCCCTATCCCTGGCTTTCCTTTTATGGTAGCATTGCGAGTGAGTTCACCATCTCCTCGCGCCCCCCTCTTTACCCTCCTTCGCGCGCACTATCTTTCCCTTTCTCCGCATACCGCCCACCACTGCTCGAGCGCAACAATAGATCTTCAACACAACCGCCTGTGTTATCTTTTCTATATACTGCGCACCACCACCGCTACCACGAGCTGTGGATGCAGCTGATATAAGTGTCTGCGGACCACGGTACGTCCCAGCTCGTAGTGTCGGTCCACACCTCCCTTTTGTGTAGCATCCAACAAATCGCCTGTCTCGCAGTACATCTTCATTCGAACGCAAGCGTTTCAAGGAACATCGTTTCAAGTTTGTTTATTGCAGTCAAAGACGAACTATCTTGGTTTTGTTTGGGGTTATTGTGGTTAAAGTTGGGGTCATCTCACGTCTTGGAAATCGACTTGCGTGATAGGTGGGCATACCACGGGCCTGAGGTCCAACCTCCGAGTTTTTCTTCGGAAGCACCCTCGTGGTAGGTCAGCATACTACGGGCCTGAGGTCCGACCTCCGCAATTTTGGAAGCACCTTCGTGGTAGGTCAGCATACCACGGGTCAGAGGTCCGACCTCCCACGGCTATCTGGCACAGGTAGTTACGGAGCACTTGGCGTAACACGAGAAAATATCTCAGCACCGAAAGATGCTTTCTTCAGGTTGGAGGCGACACCGGTCAAACATTATGGCCGGTGACGATAACCACGACTCCCTGAGTAAAGTTCCAAAACTCAAAGTCCCTGCCGACTTCATCCAATGGCGTCGAAAAATGAAGGCCTACCTCCAGCGCAACGACCCTCTCCTCTTCGGCCTTCAACCTCGCCCCTCCGGTCGTGCGGCATCTTCGTCAAGCACTGCTGTCGAAGATTGGACTCTCAAGTCCGCTCGAGCCAAAGGCAACATCATACTGTGCCTCGGCGACGCAGTTGCGTCCCAAACTCGTCTGTTTGTGGATGACGACGCCAAGACTGCCAGCGAATTGTGGGGGGAGCTTGAGCGGATCTTCACGATTTCCAACACCCAAGTCGTACAGAACCTCAAACAGAAGCTTGACACTCTCATCTTCAAGGAACACGGAAACTTTGACACTCATGTCGCTTCTTTCCTCACTATCGTTGGGGAGCTGGCTACGTACAATTCCGAGCTCTCCGGATCTGAGAAGACGTCCAAGCTTATCCGATCTCTTCCTCCTTCGTTCGCCCCACTCGCTATGGTGTCTACCCTTCAAGAATTTGACTTTGACACTCTGGTCAATGCTGTACAGGCTGAGCTTGCTCGTCGCTCCAACCCTCATAATCCACAGCATCAATACCGTTCTCCCACCGCCGAGCCAAAAGCCAATTTTGTGCAACACTCTCGTGGTGCGAATGGCCGGGGTCGTGGAAGGTATCGTCGCGGTGCTCGCCATGGGGTACATCGAGGTACCTCTAGAGGGCGCATAGAAAAGCGCACATGTGACTACTGCCACATTCAAGGTCACATTTACCGCAATTGCTGGAAGCGTCAGAAGGAGCAAGACGGCACAAATAACTCAAGGTATGGTTCGGGTCGCCAACAGGGACGTTCAGAGCGACGTCTCAAGTTTGAAAATCAAGTCCCGGACACGCCTCCGCTTCGAGGTCCAATTCGCAACAACGGCGATCACCCAAGTCGCGTCTGGGGT